TAATAATAATAATAATAATAATAATAATAGATGAACACAATCACATAAGCGAACACCTTTTATTCAATTTCAAGACGTTGAACTACATAATTACTCTCTTCACAGCTATCACATCTGAATTAATTTCCACTGTACGGGTTGAAGCAGTCCTTATAAATTATAGCTAGAAGCCGTCCCGGAAAAAAGTGTCGAAACCAGGACGACTCCTGGGGCAAGCCTTTCTCGTTCATTCGTTTAATTTTTTGTCCTTCAGACATTTCCACACACGTGATTGAGTGCGACATTTCCTGTCGTGTCTCAGAGCACACAGAGTTCCATTTTCTTCAGCCTCACAGGGTGTCACAAAACTTACGACGCCGTCATTTACCTCTCAAAATAGGAAATAGCACCATAGTTATGTAACACGTTCTGTGTACCTAACTGATCACAATAAACCCATTCTGTTCCAGTAAATAAGAATTCATCGCTTCAGTGCTAACCAAATAACAGAACAATACAAAGCCTTTAATTTAGATATGCATTTCCCATGTCGGGTGATTCTGATAAAAGTTGTTAATCTTATACATATATTTATTTTTCCAGTCTATACACAAACTTGTTTTAAAATAATTGTTGTTAAAATTATTTATAACATTTACAATATAAATTGTGGCGCTTTTCTGTGTCGTATAATATTACATTTATCACAGCGCTTTTGATTTCGACATGTTTCGATGTTTACCACATCATCATCAGGCTTATCAATTCATACATTTTTAAAAACTATTGTACATTTTTGTGCATTGCGTTTATTGATTTTCAGTCTTCATCTGGAGTATGTATTTTTGATGTTCATTATCAGGTTGTATTGTGATGTGTCGGACGTCTGATATCCACAGACGATAAACTGCAACATTATTTTAAAACAAGTTTGTGTATAGACTGGAAAAATAAATATATGTATTGATAAAACACAAACATGACGCAATTAAGATATAAATTGTTAATCTTAGTAAGATCTATCTTCTGTGTTACTTTAGAACCCTCTTCAATAAACGTTTCGACTGGAGATTACAGATGGAAGCCTGTTTAGGATATTATCTCCCCTAAATGACTTACTTCATACTACGCACACATCGTGTATAGAACGCACAGAACACGGAAAGTAACCATTTAATTAATTCGTTCACATGACGATTTCTGTTTAGAAAAAATCTAATAAAAAATATTTCCCTTCTACGTTCATTCCGAATTAATTTCTGTAACGTAAATGTCCAGAAATTGTTAAAATAAAAAAAAACATAAAAGCGCTATTCCATTACTATTAGTCTAACGCTGGCCTTGTAATCCTGGTGTCTCGGGTTCGATTCCCGGCGGTGCCCGAATTTATAACTAGTGTTGGGCAAGGCCGTGGTCTAGGCAACACGGAGTTTTCCTCCGTGGCATCCCAACAATTACTCCATTCACACACAGAAGAAGGCAATGGCAAACCACTTCTGGATCATCTGCCAAGAACGTATATGAACAGGTCCCAGTCCGAGAAGAGAAAAGGATGGAAGGATCCTGTTCATATGGACCTGTCGTCAGACAGAACACTAAATAAAAATAAAAAAACTTACGTATAAGCGTTTCGGTCTGCCATAGTCGTCATTACATAATTATATCGAATAGTTAATATTACTATTGTATAACATGTCAGATATTCCTATATACCTCAGTAGTTTCCAGCTTGTCTAATGTAACCCTAACTTTCACACAAATAAGACACCTCGGCCATTAATCTCAATCTTCCTGTTTGGAATCTTCTGAACCAGATCTTGTGTTTCGAACTACTGGTTAAATGCACGAGTGTAGCCGGAGGCGCTAATTGGCTTCCAAAGAGCTTGTTAGCTGTCCCACCCAACCCCCAAAAAAAAAGAAGAACAAGAAGAACTATTTTACAAATCTGAACTTTTCTGTCTTCGAATCAGGGTATTTGGATGTACACAGGAAACCGGTTCCATTACAGCGTTTGATGAAGAAAAGTCTCTTTCGCCTAACAAAAAGGGATGTTTTCCACGTCTTAGTTCCTACTTTTTACCTACTTCGAGCTCTTGG